TGCTTGAAGCACCGACTATACCACCGGATGAGAAGTTATCTTAAAGGAGGAGCCTATGGCTATTATTGATTGACAAGTAAGAAAGCTACTGTCACAAGAAATTTTGTTTGTTAAAGTCTTGTGGAGAAATCATACCGTTGAAGAAGCTACATGGAAAGTGGAAGATGATATGAGAGTCAAATATCCTTATTTATTTTAGTCTACGTACGTACTTGAGCTAAATTCGGGGACCGAGTTTCATAAGGTGGGGAGAATGTAATACTTTATATTCAAGTTGAGGTATTTTGATCTTTTAATATTACTTAAAATATAATAAAAAAACAAAAAAGGGAAAAACCTAACCAATCAAATGGGCAAAAGCCCATTGTAAAGTGAACGGCAAAACATAAGGGGTTTAGGGTGTGGGGAACGAAGCCAAGAGCTTCTGGTGGAAACAAAAGCAATTACCAAGTTGTAAACACTCACTCAAATACACCAACTGAAATGTTGACAATGAAAAAAAAGAGGGAGTAACATTGGTTCTGCAAATTTTCAGGGCGAAATCGAAAAAAAAGTTAGAGACAAAATTTAAAGTTGTAGCAAGTCTTTTTCGGCTCGAGCACTGTAAGTTCTTCTCTATAGGTTTGTTGCCTCGTTCTTTGGTTTGTGAAATTTCTATTGGGTATTGATTTTTCTACAATAAAAACTATTGTAGGCAGAGGTTCTATTTGGTTTAGACTTATGCACCTATAAGATATCATGTACAGGTGTTACAAATTGGATGAATTTATTGTATAAAAGGGTTAAAATTGATAAATTACGGATCTTTTTGAGTGAAAGATTGGTGAAAGAAAGCTACTTCCATAAGGACATAGTGTATTTATTAGCTTAAACGAGCTTTAGAAGTTTTAAAAGTAATCTGGAATCAAATGCCTTCTACGATAACATTGCCTTGGGCTAAGAAATTTATATATGACTTAAGGAACATGATTAAGGTATAGAAGTGTTCTCGGGTAGAGTAGGAAAATCCTAATTTGGCAAACTGAGAGTTAAACAAGAAATCGTAAGGGCTGGTTATTGTGAATTGGTATGTTGACGGTTCATAAAATTGATACATAGATTGATTTTAATACTGTTTAGGTGATTGAACAAGTCGAATGGATTGCTTGTGGTGACACATTCGGTATTCCGGTACGAGTACTGTGAGTAGTAATCTTACCGCAATTTGTGTTTTCATAACCTGCATGGTTTATACCTTATTTTGAAAATAAAATGTGTTACAGAATATTTGAAATTGCATGTGGGACAAGTCCTTTACTTGATATGGTACTGAACAGTTTACTTGAGATGTTTACCGTTATTTAAAATGTTCTCACTATTACTAGACATGTTTTACTGTTATTTGAGATATGATTACCGTCAGTGGCGGAGGCAGGATCTCCACGAAGGGGGTTCAAAATTTTTTTTTGTAGCTAGTGGGAATTGAACCCATGACCTTATGTAGATTTTGAACCCCCTTGACCACTAAACTACACTTTTGGATTGTGTTAAGGGTGTTCAAAACTTAATATATAGAGGTAAAAAATAGATTTTGCCTTATATATACGGTGTAATTTTTCGGCGAAAGGTGTTCGGGTGAACACCCTTGCGCCCCCCTAAATCCGCCCCTGATTACCGTTACCGAAATTGGATCACATGATTTGATAAGAATTGAAATGCCCTATACTATTTTGAAAATGCTTCCATGTGAATATTTACTGTTTACAAAGAAAAGTATAAATGAGAGGAGACTTTGAACGATCCCGTAGCTAATGGCGGGTTCGTTAGACCTGGTGCACCTTGTATTTACAGATTACCGATTACAGTTATAGACCTCGCTAGTGGGAAGGTAGAACTAGCATACAGTTACAGTTTTCCCTCGAGTAGGGACCTACAGTTATATTTGACTCCTTTTATGAAGGGGTCTACACAGTGATACAGATTACATGATTCTTTATTGGAAACCTCCCAAACATAAAGATTTGCTATGAGACAGTGCTTACCGGGTTTATTACCGAATTGTTCAATTGACTTTGTTACACGAAACACATGATGAGACTGATTATTGTTTATTGTTTCAGAAAGGGCATTCTTATGATATTTTCTGTATAATATACTAGCATGTTTTCTGACTAGTCCCCAACTAAAAATGGTTATGGTTAAGTGTTATTACTCACTGAGCTAGCGACTCACTCCCGCTACAGAAACAGCATTTGACGCGAGCGAGGATTTCGTTAATTAAAGTATAGGGGTTGATAGTTCCTGGTGAGCCCCGCACTTGTTTGCGTGGGCGAAAAGTTTATTTATTTGTTATCGTCTTTTCTTATTAACTCATAGAGTCCCTCCATGGTCATTCTTTTAGTGTCATGAGTATTCTTTCGCTATTTTAGACTTATGATGAGTATTGCTCTTTCTTATCGAATTTGGAGATAAATTAGTATTTGTGGCTGTTAGTGGGTGGATTATAATGGTTGATACTTATTTTGGTTAATGGATAAAGTTATTGTTGGTTGGATTGATATTAGAATGTTTGGTTGTTGATTTTGCGACAGGAAGTTTTTTTGGATAATCCAAAAATAGGGAAAACTCGGTCCGTTTTTCTATAAAATATCAATGAGGCTTACTTAGGGGCACTTGCTCCTAAGCGGCGGCCATGATCCTAAATTGCGGTCGTGACAAATAGATAGACTGCTTAGACTTGGAATAATCTTCTTTTTTTACTTTTAGAGTACTTAGTTAAGTGACTGACTCTATCTATGAGGAAATTGCATTTTATGTTATGAACAATATCTGTTATGTTCGACTTTCAATATCTAAGTGTTTTAATTTTCAAATGCCCTAGTTGTGATTGTGAAGATGGCAACGAGGCAGTGGATAATTCCTCGAAATATTTTGAAAATTAAAAAAAAAAAAAAAGAATCTTAATTTGGATCACGTACATGACCTCAATTGTCATTGTTGTAGAGAATCAAATAGAGTAGAGATAAAAAAATGTAAAGTTAAAAACATTAATAAATAAATGGCTTAGGTACTAGCTAGGGAATTGATAAAGAAGCTAAATAATGGAATTATAGCTTAAAGAATTTTATAAGTCTGGTTTTGGCTGTTCGTTGACATTGAACCTTTATATATTCAAGTTTCCTAGACGAAAACTCGACACTTGAGCGAGTCAACGGGGCGTCAATTATATTAATTCAAAATATTAAACGTTGGAAAATCTCTAATTTTATATATTTATATAATCTAGAGAATGCTTGCAGTAAGAGTTAGGAGAAAGCTATAGCTTTTGTTTTTTTGTCAATTGTAAAGATGGCCAAGCAAGCCTTCGTGCTACCCATATATAATATTTTTACTATTCTCAAAACAAAACAAAAAACCAAAACAGAAATCGACAGGGTTGAGCGACTCAATAGTATCAAGTAGTGCCGTAAAAATTATTTGCTTTGTCTTTAGTTAATTAACTTTTGAGGTTTAACAAGCTATATTTTTTAAAATATTTAGTTTGAAATCGTCTTCAAATAGTATTAATAGATGAAAATCATTTAATCTTTATTTCCAAATTGCTTTAAGATAGTATGGGTAAATATGAAAATCTTGTAAATATCGATATTTCTTTTTGTTGTTGTATTATTTAAAAATTAATTTTATTTTCTTTATGGAATCTTCTATCTGAATAAAACAAAACTAATAATTTTTCAAAATGAGAAAAAGATTGGAAATGAGCATTTGCACGTCATGTCATATCAACACATGCATAGTGCATTTAAAGGAAAGTTGTGGCTAGAGAAATGTGGGATTCACGTATATTTTGCATTTAAGAAATACAAACATGGTATTTTTAAAAAGTGACATATATACCCTTGGTCAACCATCTTTCCTTTTCAATATAATAGAAACTAGCGAAATTCCCGCGCTTCGTGCGGTTGTTTAAAAACATAAATTCATTTTTTAAATTTGAGGAAGAATATTTAAACTTATAGTAAAACGTTTTCTTTGAAACAAAAAGGAATTGGTTTAGCCTTGGCAATAGGAAATATGAGCATTTCACCAAAGGATGAGATTAATATGAAACGTTTCCATTCACATTAGATCTTTAAAGCTATTAAATGCATGAAAATTCACAAATGCACCTCATCTCATGAAACATCCCACAACACTATAAATAGAGGTCCAAAAAGCTTTCAGCCTTCTTAAACAATTTCTCCATCGCAATCATTTTCGAATTTTAATACCAATTGAGAAGTGACTTAAATGTATCAAATGAGTAGCTTAAGTCATGGGAATGGCATTAGATGTATCATTATTGATGATCCATGACCATAACATATTGATTAAATTAAAAGAAGTGCTACTAATTTGATGAATAGACATGTAGATTGAGAAAATTATGTCTATGCTTAACAGAAAGTCCACACACGTTTGTACAAGCTCCCCAATATACAGAGTCCCTTCATATCTTATTTTCCAAACTTACTGCTATGAACTTCACATAATAATTGTTAAGTGATACAATCTTACGATTTTGAAGTCCACCAATCCAGTGTTAAGATACACCCCTTTGAGGTTGAGAAGAGCTTTCCTCAAAGCGACAACTTAATCACTTTATATAAGCAACAATCATAAAAATTAAAAAGAAGTTGAAATCAGAAAGCACAAAATGGGGAGATTGGTGTTGCTCGCCACTGCTGACTGAGAGAAGCAAAACGTGATCGTAAAGAGTGATTTGTAAAACCCAGAAAGAGGAAATCAATATGAACATTTGACAATACGAAATTTGATTAAACAAATAAATTAGAAATAGTTTTAGTGGTTGCAATGTGGCTTAGCGTTATAGTCAAAATATGAAGGTTAAATATGTTTATAAACCAATGAATTAATCCAGCTATCCGAGTCAAATTTTAAAGGTATTATATGTAATAGTTGTAATAGTTAAAGACATATCAGAAAGCTAAAATTCTTTATAATTGTAGGGAAAACATATCTTAACATAATTCCTAACATATTTATTTTGGTTCTCGTCAAAGAAGTAAGGAACCAAATTTGCATTTCAGCATAAATATTTACTATAATTTATTTGAAAGCTTAATTGGACAATTTACTTTTTTACAACTATAAAGTGGAGGTAATAATGTGGAAACAAAAAAATACTGAGAGTTGAGGAAACACAAACTGATCCAAAGAGAAATTCAACGTTGACGTAGTTGCTCATCTCTGCTCTACTGAATAAACTGCACCAAGGCAAATAAACTGTGTATAAATCACCCGACCGAATAAACATTTTAAAAAAGAAGAAGTTGTAAAGCAATTCAAAAGTGATGTGTTTTTCCTTGCGGGCTTATTTAAGAATCATGTAGATGGGGAAATTCCAAAAAAAAAAAGAGAGAGATAAATAGTACATCCGTGAGCATGGGGAGGTTCCCATTAGATTTTAACTTTTTAGCTTTATATTTATATATAAATTATTGACAAATTTTAATTAAGTTCCATACACATGCAAAGATAATGTGAACATTACTTCCCGTATATACCAAAAATTCATATTGAATAACTAAAACTCAAGGGAGGAAGATCATATGTTTCCCATAAGCATCCATGATAATTTTGTGAAAGCTCTACTTTCATAATCTCAAATGACCGCAATTGTCATTATGGAATAAAATGCTAGAACAGAAGGATAACTCGAGAAGACGAATACACTAACCTCGTGGCAATTAAACAATTTATGTTGTGTTATATTGGTGGTACTCAATTATAAAGGAGAATCATACATCTAAGCACATTACCGGCCTCATTCCCCAATAAAGTGATGTAAATGTCCGGTGTCCTAGTTTAAAATTATAAACAATATAGTACTATATTTTCATTATTCCATTAGAAAGAGTAATTGTAACTTTTAATTTATATAGAACCGCTATATAAGACCCAAGAAAAAATGCAACCTTTGCACGTTTCCCATAAAATAATAGACATAATCTGGAAATTGAAGGTTATTACCACCTAAATAAGCTTCCTACAAGTCAAAAATAGAGTGAAAGGAAACTCAGCCAGGGAAAAAGAAGAGCTAATATTTGCTAAATTACCTAAAAAAATATTAAACATATTTGTGACTGAAACAAAATCTTAAGCCAAAGCAATGACTACCTGAATGGCAGCATCTTAAAGAGCAGCAACATCACGTGCCAGGTACCTAGTCAGGCGAGAGGATAATCCAACTTGTCAACAAAAGGACAGATTCAACATAACACATTCAGACTTAAGAAGAAGAATGGATGAGCGGAAGATCCATTTAAACATCACCAAGAAACAGTCAAAGTAATGAGGCTTTTGGGGTTTTCCAGCAGAGGATAACAATATAATAATATTAATATAGCAAGAATTCTATATAATAAAATGAAAAATAAGAAGTAACAGGATCTATCCAGTACTAATATCTGAGATTACAATGAAAATCTAATATAGTCTAAACTCCATATGAGTATAAACTATAATCAATATTTATAGACATAAAAATTAAGTTCAATGGTCATCAGACATCACTATTAAATAAAAAAATCTTCCCTAACCATTAATAATGATTGATTGCACTTAACTCTGCCTATGTCGCCTCATATGTGCATTTTTATGAGTATCTTCTTCTCTGGCTTTTGTGCTTTTCTTTTTCTCTCTTATTTGTAGCACTATTTCTGTGATAGTAGTATTTTAACTACCTTCGCTCATCTCTTCATCGCTGCAACGACCGTTGGCGAGTCTTAATCTTCATTTGTTTTTCCTTTAGTTTTTGTTTTCCAATTTGGTATTTGCATGGATATGGATTGCAGGGTAGTTAGTTTTCTTCCTCCTTAATTTTCTTCACCCATCAATAAATTATATACACATGATAAATCTTTATCAGTAAAGCAAAATTCTTGTACTCCATATCAGACACGCCCTTAATTATGAAATTTGAAAAAGTTATGTATATTATATCTTTATACTCATGGTTATCCATTGTGCAAAAAGCATAACAGTTAACAATCTTTGGGGCGTACCTCAAATACGAATGGAGAAGGTAAAATTGAATCTCTTGACGGCCTTTTGTTAGTTTGCACTACCATCTATCAACCTAAAAAGAAAAATAAATGATGTTCTCAACTGAATTGTCAAACTTCAATGGTTTGACATTTAAAATTCTGAAAAGATATGCAAAGAAAGCATAGTTGGTAAAGATTAACTTTGAAAGGATTACATACCGGCAAGTGCTGAGTAAATTTGCAGCAATCTTGAATCCGTGGGCAAGGTCAACTATGGGGCATATTTTCGAACACTTCATGGGCGTCAAAATAAGCAATTGTTATCCACTTGTTCTGCGCTGGCAAAGGAGTAAGTGAAAAACGGAGCAGAATGAAGAATCAAAGCGAAAGTAACCAGAAAAAGCAATTGGAAACGGCGTTGAGGAAAGAATTTAGAGATTAGCAAAGGAATTAAAGTAAATCAATAAAGGTGAAGCAAAGAGGATAATAGGAAAATAGAAAGATAAAGAGGATGAATACAGAGAAAGAAGAGAAGAGGGGAACAGAGAAAGTAAAGAATCTGTTGGAAAAGAAACCGTTGTTTTTGAAGCGTTGTATGTTTTTGACTTTTGGTTTTTGATAGTGGAAAATCAGAGGAAATCGTGAAAAATCACAGGAAAAGAAAAGTTGAGTTTCTGCTAGATGGGAGTGCCACGTAACCTGTATTAGGGCCCTCAATTATAATTATATATAGATATATCAACACACCCACGTTTTTATATATTTTACACGCACCCCAATAGTTGCAGCTCAATAAGTTAGCTATCTAACACAAGTTCTCTTAGAAAATATCTCAATTATCGATGGAAGAAGCTGCAAGATCGAGAAAGATAGGTAGTAGCACTTTGAAAGTTCCTAGCGTTCAAGAGCTGGTAAAGCAACAAGTAAGCGTTCCGCCGCGATATATTCGTAATGATATCGAAACGTCTTTTTGACATCCAATTACTCTTCCATATTGCCTCAAGTTCCAGTAATTGACATGGAAAAACTGCTGGCCATCGGGAATGATGGTTCAGAGCTTCAGAGGCTTCATTTTGCTTGCAAAGAATGGGGATTTTTCCAGGTATATGTATATTTCAATGACCAAATGTTGTTCGTTTTAAGATTTTAAGTTGTGGAGAAATGGTTACAAGGTTTGTTTGTTCCTAAAATGGATGTGGATCCAAGATTTCAAGTTTTTGAATTTTGGATCCATAATCTTGTTTTGTTATCTGGATGAATTATTTATACATATTAGATTTATTGATATAAATATAAGATTTGAGTTTAATCTATTGACTTCTGTCAAATCCATAACTTCGACGGCGTATCTACCCCTGTTAGTGATGACTGATGACTTAAAAGTCATCAATCACCACCACCCAAAGAATATACTTGTGTTACAACAAAATTTAACAATCTTTTTAATATTACTTTCTTGCAGTTGGTGAATCATGGAGTGAGTTCATCATTGGTGGAGAAAGTGAAGTCAGAAATCCGAGCGTTTTTCGATCTACCGTTGGAAGAGAAGAAGAAGTTTGAACAGGAAGAAGGGGATGTAGAAGGATATGGGCAAGCCTTTGTTTTCTCTGAAGAGCAAAAGTTAGACTGGGGTGATTTGTTTTACATGACCACTCTCCCTACCCGTTTGAGAAAACCTCACTTATTCCCAAAGCTTCCTGTCTCACTTAGGTACCCCCTCTCTCTCTCTCACACACACACAAAATATTCTGAGTTATAACACAAAAAAGAGTTACAAGAGAATATGAAATGAAAAGAAAAAGAAAATATGAAAAGATACACAAGGTATACATACTATTTGCTAGTCGTATTTTGCTTCTGCAATGACCATTTAATTCTCTTGGAAAATAAATTTTTGTTAATAGCTAACCGCTATATAGTAAGGCCCCGTTTGTTTTTCTTAAGATTAAGATATTTGAATCTATATATATATATATACCTTAAGCTTAGATGTATATTCTAACTTGTGCCTTGATCTTCACTCCCTTCCTCATTTAATGTTTGTATGATATGATTGGATACTTTAGGGACATCATGGAAGCACACTGCCAAGAATTCAAGAGCCTAACAATAAGCATTTTATGTCAATTGGCAAAGGCTTTAAAGATGGATGAAAAGGAAATGAAAGATCTGTTCACAGATGGTATGCAATTAATAAGGATGAATTGTTATCCTCCTTGCCCTGAGCCAGACAAAACCATTGGCTTAAGTCCTCATTCTGATGCTGATGCCCTCACCATCCTTCTCCAGCTTAATGAAACTGATGGTCTCCAAATTCGAAAAGACGGTATTTGGGTTCCTATAAAACCCCTTCCAAATGCTTTGATTGTTAATGTTGGCGATATGATGGAGGTAAATAAGGTTTTCCTTGTTATATGTTAAGTCTTCCTTTATTTTTCGTGTCATCTCATTTCAGATATATATCGGAAACAGCCTCTTTACCTTCCCAGACCCCATTTGTAGGACCACACTGAATGTGTTATTGTATCTTACTTCAGATATTCAAACACCTAAAGTTTCTTGAAAAGGGATTTAATTCAGGTAAATGTGTTAATTGACTTGGCAGATAGTGAGCAATGGTGTTTATAGGAGCAATGTGCACAGAGCAGTTGTAAACTCAAACAAAGAGAGGCTATCTCTTGCAACATTCTATATCTTTAATCTCGACTCTGAGTTAGGTCCTGCACACAGCCTCATTGGACCACATAATCCTGCAAAATTCCGAAGTGTTCATGTAGAAAAATATTTACAGGATTTTTTTGCACGAGAACTTGATGGAAAATCGTTCATTGATTGCATGAAGCTAGAGACCAAGGATGACGAATCCTAGGTCGCATTTGATACTCTACTTGGTTTATTAACTTATCAATATCACATGAAGCATTTTAAGTTACTCTTCCAGCCTGTTTGGATGGTTCTTATCCATTATATTGTATTGTATTAATATATTGTACTGTTCTATATTGTATTGTATTGTATTATATTATTCTGTATTATATTAAATTATATTGTATTGTTATTGTACTGTATTGTTGAATCCGTTATCACATAATAATAAAAAGTTCAATTTTATGTAACAATCAATTTGGTATGATGGATCGTTATATCATTTCCCTATCATGTATGCCCTTATTATTTTATAATCATATTTTTTCATTTACCCCTTTTCTATTTAACTCCACCTTATGAGGGTGTTTGGCTAAGCTTATAGGCCGGTCAAACGAGCTTATAAGCACTTTTCGGCTTATCTACGCGTTTGGCAAAGTTAAAAGTGTTTATAAGCCAGGTGCTTATAAGTCAAAAATAAGCCATAAGCTGGTCACCCCCAGCTTATAAATTTTTAGCTTATAAGCACTTTAAGTTTGATCAAGATTTTTACTATTTTATCCATAAAATATTCCTTTTTGGAACAAAACTCCTACATCGATACTCACTGCCTCAGGTATTTTTTCAACCTAACCCCCCACCCCCCCCCCCCTTCAAGTTTGCAACTCTCATTGATTATATAAGATAAGCAAATTCTCTATTCCTTTGCATTTTGTATCTATGTGATTGTGTATTAATCTTTGAATTGTATGTAATAAATGAGGACATATCAAATTTTTGGTGTATTGCTTTTTAAGTGTCGTGGTGACGAAGACAGTGTTTGTTTCTCTTCAATATTTTGTCCTATTTAGGTTTATTTTTTATTGAGAAAATTTTGTCAATTTATTAATTATTATAACTTATTATTATATGCTTATCATAAACATTATCTTATCTAAGCACACTTGTATTTGAAATAAAATGACAAATAGGATATTTTGTATTTGAATCGGTCTGAAATCTAAAATTTTAAAGAAATGACGCCCTTATAAGTGTAAACAGTTCTAAGGTTATTTAAGTCATTTTAACAAAAAAGAGCTTATCAGCACTTTTTAATCAAATGTTGCAGCAACTTTTTATCAATTTCAGCACTTATATCCAAACACGTAACTGCTTATTTATTAAATCAGTTTCAGCACTTAAAGGTGCTTTTCAGCACCTAATGCTTATCAACTACTTCAAATCAGCTAATCCAAACGGCCTCTATATCCTGTTAGACATGTTCACCTTGAATTTTTAGTCGTTTTGTCGCTACCTTTTCTTCCTATCCTATCCCTTTTATCATCTTCCATCTACGTGTTTATTGGGCAAAATATAAAATTGATCGGTCGGCCAAAAATTAATTGCATTTACTAACCAAAAAGTATATAAAAAATATGTGTATTATAGGTATATAATGCACGAGTCCGGAACCAAAATGTGGTTCTTTTGGACTCAAAGAACCAAAATGTATAGAAAAAAACTAGTGACCAAAATATATATAAAGCCTTAGCTAAAGGCGCTATACCTTAATGGCCGTTTGCCCAATTAAATATAGCGCCTTTAGCTAAGGCGCTATATATATATAAAGCCTTAGCGTACAGTGCTATATATAGCACCAAGGAATCCAATGTTTTTGTGTTCATGATGAGAAAATTTCCCCAATTTATCACTCAACAGGTCTATTATTTTATATGTTAGTTTATTATTTTATATTTTAGTTTATTATTTGATATGTTTGTTTGTTACGGTAAGCAATTTATATTCAGTGGCCAGTTGAACTGAGCTTTGAATGGAGAATTTCAGAGAGGTGTTGTTCACATTATTATTATTGCGATTTAGCCAAATGTTCCAGACAACAAAGGGGAAAAGATCAAACCATTTAAGCATCTTGGAGAGTATTGGTGGTTGAAGATCTCGAAGGAAAGTTAACCAGTGGTTCGAGCTAGCATTGGAGCTACTATAAAACCCTAATCTAATCCAAGCTTCATTGACAATTGGGCATTCAGTAAAAATATGTTCCAGATTTTCTGGGCTGGTTTTGCACATAGGGCACGTAGAGTCAATATTGATCCCTATATAATTTAAGTAGGCACGAGTTGGAAGTTTATTATGAAGACATTTCCAAAGGAAAAATTTAATCTTATTTGGGCAGTGGAGTGCCCAGATCCAGTCAAAATTTGCCAAAGGAGGGCTGGTAGGGTTTACAAGGTTATAGCAACTTCGTGAAGTGAATTTATCGTCACTTAAAAGCTAACTCTTTCCATCCCCTCATTAATTTTTCTCCTCGTTTCTGTCCAAATGCAATTCCCAACCCCCAATCTAGAATCGATTCATATACCTTCCAAACCACTGGACGGTTTGAATTCCCAAAAAACACAAACAGTCCAGGAGTTGGATGAACAAATCAGTACTCAAACATCTGTTCCCACATCCCCTCCTTCTTTCAAATCCAAACTCCTTGACCAAAGGGACATATAGTTATAAACACGGACTTCTCAAAACACTTGCCATCCTTCTCCGTTTATCAAGATCAGGAGATGTCCAATCCTGCCTCAGAAGATGGAAGAGAAATCAGTCCAATTGTGGTTCATATTTCACAGGAGGATAGACTGAGAATCTATGAACCTTGAAAATTTTCTCTCATCATTAAACTCCAAGGCAAAAGAACCCTTCACCATATCCTCAAACGTAAAGTTCAAGATCTTTGAAAATTACAAGAAAACTTCCCACATATAGACTTAGGAAATGATTACTTTGTTGTCAAGCTACAAAATGAAGACAGTATGATCTCGATCCTTCG